TTCCCTAGGCTTTTCGGGGGATTTCGGGGCTAGAGAGAGGTTCTAGAGAGAGAGAGAGAGTAAAGAGAAGAAAGAATGGGAAAGGTGTGAAGAAAATGAGGGTGGGAGAGGTGGTATTTATAGGGTGAAATGTGGCTGAACTTGGTGCCACATGTCACCATCTGGTGGCAAGCCTTGGGGAGAAAGCAATGGCCAAGATTGTGCCACATCACCCATTTTCGCACAGCACACTTCCGACTTCTAAAATCCGTAACTTTCACATACGACCTCCGTTTTTGACGTTCTTTATATCCACGCGTAGGTAATAATAAGATCTACAACTTTCATTTTGACACCGTCAGCTAATTCTCGACCGATCTTAAATTTAACAGTACAAGGAGATTATACTGTTAAACGTCTGCGTAAAATTAATAACTTCTACATACGGACTCTGTTTTTGTCTGTCTTTTTACCGTTGATTTCCTATTAATGAGATCTTCAACTCTCATTTACGTTGCGTAAGCCAAAAACCGCTCGAACTAAAATTCGAGTTTCAGGCCGTGCACTGCTAAGCCGAATCTTAGAAAAATCATAACTTCTTCATACGAAGTCAGATTTGGGCGTTCTTTTTATCGATGTTCTTAGTTTAACATATTCTACGACTTTTGTTTAGATTGCTAAGGCTAAAAAGTCTTCTATCGTAAATTCACTATTTACGTCTCCCGGTATCGTGCCGGTTTTGTCGTAAAACTTCGGCGGGCCATAACTTCTTCGTTATAGCTCGGATTTCGGCATTCTTTATATGCACGGAAACCTTGAGACATATTCTACAACTTTATGTAGAGATATCGGGATTATCTCACACTTTAATTTTGACGCTCATTTTTATTCTTTATTAATTATACATTTATAATTAAATAATAAACACATAAACACACATAATTCACATAATACTCAAATATTTCATATTTATTACTTCAAAAAGAGTTACAATAGTTGACCTAGACTATTACATTGACAAAAATGCTTAGCCCTGAAACCCGGGCGTTACACTATAAACCAAAAACTCTAGAAACGATATATGCAATGATGGATAAGTAATAGCGTTCTATCTGATAGAATTTGATTGCCCTTATTCAAACTTCTTTTCATTCATTTTCTGTTGATCTTCATGTAGTTATGAAAACTGTTTTTTAAACCTAAAAGAAAACATAGATGAGATTTTAAAAGAAAACTAAATTCCAAGGTTTGCTTGATTGTAAAAAGAAAGGAATTGTCCTGAATCCGGAAAATACCATGTACTTTATGAGCACCTCATCAGTAACTGCCCCGTTAGCCAATCCAAGTATGTTTGTCAAAGTAGCAAACCCCAAACTTGCATTTTTAGGGCTAATCAACATTTCTCGATCAATCTGAAGACGCAACAGACAACATTAATGAAATCAAATTCATTTCCATTCATTTTGCAACTAAAAAAAATACAAGGGAAAACATACAGATTACAGCACAACAACTTTGTGATATTTTCTAGATCATCAGTTCCACCAGAAATCCTTTCAGAGACAATCACCATGAGGCACCACCATTTGTACTGGTTCCTTCTCCATTTCTATCTGCAAAAATGGAATCCAACAAATCAAAAGTATAAAAACCGAGTATAAGGAAGAGATTTAATCAATGTCCATCTAAATGGATAAAATAAGAAGTTGATTGAGCCAACTTTTGTGTAATCAGATGAAAAAATACCTTCTTTTTTCAGGCATCCTGAAGTTCTCCGATCTGAAATAACTCCATCCTTTAATCTTATATTACGATTTAATCTAAAACAAAGGAAACAGAAAAATCAAGAATGGGTAAATTCACCTAAATCACGAATATGCTCAAAACCTATTTCGTCTTAAGTGTGTATGTATCTATGAGAGCTCTGACCTTCACACAACCTCCGATCGATTTAACTAATTTTCAATGGATCCATCTGAATCGAGATTTTACGTAAGACTATGTAAGGTTGATAATTAAAATAATGATGGAAAGAGAATGATATACAGACGAAATAAAAAATGATATATAGATTTTACGTCTCCGATTTAAGGAGAGGTTGAAGAAAAAGTGACGATCCAACTGAAATTGGGGATGAAAATTGAGTATGAATAATTGATATCGAAGAACAGAGGAAAAAGTAACTTGCGAAATTCATTTGGAAATACAACCAGGTTCCTAAATTAAAGGCATTTGAGATGATCGGGTCAATTAGAAATCCGCGAGATCTAAGGAGATCAACAATTGGGATTACAGAAATTCAAAACCATATTCAAAACCATATGCGTATTCAAGAGCAAGGGCATAGACGGAAATTCACTTGCATGAAATAGGCGGGATAATTCGGGAGGACTAATTGACTGCCACGTGGCGAAAATGCTTTTATTTATTAGATTAGGGGATAGGAGACTACAATCACTACTAATAATATTTTTTAAACATTTTTTTCTAATGGAAATATAAATACTTGTATATAATTGATCGAAATATTAATATTTCTAATGTATATTAAGATTAATATTCTTATTTTGGGTGCTTTATTAGATCGACTGCTTATTACGAGCAATCTTGGTATTGACATCCCTTCAATGTTGTGACCGGTTTATGAATAGAAGGTGGAGGGTATTTCCCATTTATTTTTCTTGGCGCTCTTTAGCTTTTGAGGTATGGAGACTATTTGGACAGATTTGGTGATTCTAACGTTTCATTCTATATTCGATGTGTTTTTGTGGATTGATGACAAGCATGTTGTGATATTGGAGCGAGCGATTCTTGATGCAATTTTTATGACTATGATTTGAGTTCTTTGAACATATTAGAATATGGTGATGTTTCGTGATTCCCATTACCGGAAGGAGTTTATTTTTTACAACATTGTTTGTTATTAGTTCAATTGGTTTTCGGTTCGAAATGCTAAAGCCTTAAAGAATTGGAATGTGTGGTTGCAAAATCCAATTTTTCCTTAATTGTTTTTTTTTTTGTAGTTTTCAGCAAGTTTTCATAGTTTCATATATATTGTTGTCGTTCAAACTAACTTTATTATCTCGGTTTTATCTAACTGTTGGTTGAGAAATGACCATAATAACTAATCTCCTAAATCACTACAAGAAAATCTACTTTAATAAATGAATGTTTTTTTGCATCACACTCTCATTCAATTTGTCAAATGTCATTTTGTGATTATTTTGAATTAATTTCTTTTCCACATGTCATTTTATGGGTTTTTCTATTTTAATAAATTTCATATAATACTTTAATGTAATAATTACAATAAATTTGTAATAAATGAATATCAATTTCATTAATGGACTTACATTTTTATTTCACAATTCCCAAATTAAAGCTCATTAATTTATTTTGTTTATTTATTTAAAATTTAAATTTAAAAGATAAAAAAATTAATTTTAATAATTTATTATTTTTCTTATTTTCTTATAAATCCAAATCTACCCTAATAAGTAAGAATGATTTTGCCACATGTCATTCTCTCATTCAATTGACCACATGTCATTTTGTCATAATTTTGAAATATATTTATTTTCCACTTGTCATTTACTTTATTTTTTATTTCCAATTATTTCCAATATATCATTAATTTAGTTTCCATAAATTAAACCTATCATAATGACTATTAATTTCAAATTTTAAATTTTGAATTTCAATTTCAAATAAATTTATAGTTTACACTTTTGTGTTTAACATTGTGTGATAATTTACCCGTTTAGTACATGGATCTAATAACTAAACACATAATTATAATTTATTTATTTTTTGCATTTTTTTCTTCCATTTTCAGTTATTTCATAATTTTAATTCAGATAAATTTCTCATTTAATCTTTTTTATTTAACATTTTGTTTTAATCAACCCGTATAATATACGGGTTTCACAACTAGTCTACTCTAATAAATGAAGATTTTTTTGTCACTTGTCACACTCTCATTCAATTTGCCAAATGTCATTTTATGGTTATTTTGAATTAATTTCTTTTCCACATGTCATTTTATGGGTTCTCCTATTTTAATAAATTTCATATAATACTTTAATGTAATAATTACAATAAATTTGTAATAAATGAATATCAATTTCATTAATGGACTTACATTTTTATTTCAAAATTTCCAAATTAAAGCTCATTAATTTATTTTGTTTATTTATTTAAAATTTAAATTTAAAAGATAAAAAAATCAATTTTAATAATTTATTATTTTTCTTATTTTCTTATAAATCCAAAGTTCTTAAATATTTAAACATTTATATTTAATTTTTTTAATTAACTCATGTAATACATGGGTCTTACACCTAGTTGTTGAATTACTACGAAAAATTGTTACGTAATCAAATTCCGTAGTTAATTTAATACGCAAATTGCTACAAAATTAAATTTCGTAGCTAAAGTTTGAATTTGCTATAGAATCAACTTCCATAGATATTTAGCTACGGAATTGGCTATAAAATCAAATTACGTAGCTATCTAACTATGGAATTAACTACGAAATCAAATCTTATAGCTATTGTAACATCTTGTTATTAAGGTATTCCATTTATTTCCTTGGTATGTAATTTGATTGCATTTTGGTCCCTTGTAGTATTTTTAAATGAAGCGTGTTTTCATCATGTACGTTGGGCATACGTGGCCTGTACCAAAACCTTAATATTTAGGGTTTGTGCATTATTTCTTCTCCAAACTTTCATCATTCTTGATTCTTCTTATCTCTATCCTTGAACTTAGAGTAGTTGTTCTGAAGATTTGAAAAGTTTGACTTCCTATAGAACTTCTTTGTAGAATTTGCAACCAAAGCAAGATCTTCATCATTAGAGTCCTCATCACTTTCATTATCCTTATCGGACATTATTCCTTTTTCAATATCAATTTTCAAGACGAGCGCCAAAGATAAAGGCCCACCTAAACCTTTCTCTTTCAAACTTTCCAAAACATCTCCCTTGTGAGATTTTGAGACACCATACAGTTTATTTAGAGAATGTGAATCAATGTTCTCATGACCCTTAATAATAATAGTAAATTATTTCCATTCTTTACATATGACTGAATGAAACTGATATTGCTTTCATGTTGACTACGAACAACTTCATCTTTCTTAAGTTTGTAACTAAGTAAACAATACCTCTAGTAGACCTCATCCAATGATTCTTTACCATTTTGTTTGTCACCGTACTCCTCTTCTTATCGGTTCCTTCATACATCTCTTTCAGTGCATTCCACATCTCTTTAGTAGTTTTGTTCTGCCTTACATGAACCAGAATGTACAGAGGAATGCCACATTGTAATTCCCTTAAAAACTTCTTGTTATTTTGGATCATCTTCTTGTTCACCAGAGTTGTTTCATCTGGAGTACCTCCACCAAAACAACTTAGGAATGTTTGGATCAAACAAACCATTCTTGATTGAAGGACAAATATTCTCATCAATTCCATATAGATAATCTCCCATTCTTTCACATTAATCATCGTATTAATCTGAAAAGAGAAGAGGAGCTCAAGAATTTGAACCAGCAAATTTTGCATAATTCAAAATTACTCGAGTGTTTTCAACACGATGATAAACAAGACTTGATTGACAAATTCAAATGAAATTTGAACAAACACGAAACCGATTTGATCTATGAATTGATATAGATAAAAAAAAAAAAAAAAAAAAACAATGAACACGATCAAATTCCAATTGATTGTTACAACACATGCTCAGATACCAATTGTTGAGTTAAGATATGTCGAACATAAAGTGGAATATCAAGCAAAATAGATTGAACAATGCATCCCGGATTTCATTGATTATCTCATTGATTCGATAACAAGGGGTGGCACAAGCTCTAGCATAAATCTAAGCGTTTATGCTCTCAGTTATACTAACATGGATATCATCATTAAGAACGTTGTCTGATCAATGATCCGGAACCAAAATAACAAGAACTAGTGAATATATAATCTATGGAGATAAGAATTGATCGCAACAAAATCCAAAGCCCAACAAGTTGCTATTTAGCATTTTAGAAGGGATGTTCTTTGTTTGTTGTTGCATTGAGTTCAATTACAAGTAATTAACATTTAAATTGTGTTCAAGAGGCTAACATCATATACATACCAAAAATTAGAGACACTGACACTAGCTATTTCTCATTTTAGATATTGTAAATTTGTAAGCAATACAAATGTGCTAAGAGAGTGATTACGATTGATCGCTATCAAACTTTGATTGTATTATGATACAAGTAAATTTTAGAAAATCACTATCACATTAGATGAAAATTTAAGTTTATTTCTGTTTTACACAAATTGGACGAAAACAAGGTTTTAAAATAGATAGAGTTAGCCAAAGGCCAAATGATTAGTCATTTAATACAGCATATAAATAGAGTAGTCCTTGAAACAATACAAATTTACTCCTTTTTTTGGGTGCAACCAATGATAATGTCTTCGATTTATGTACTAACTATCCTTGTTTAAACTTGATTTTATTTAGCCAAGTGACACAAATAAATATTTTTAAAGGATAAGCACACAATATATGACATTTAATTTGACAACTTTTTTTTTTTTTTACCAACAGAGCAAAATGACACCCAACATAATATTCCATGTCTTTCTATTATATCTACAAAACCAGACAAAATTTCTCTTGTTTTAAAACCAAGTTGATATAGCCTCTGTGGCTTTCTTTCAAAACAGGGTGTTAAACATGGGCTGATTTGCCAGTTGGAGTTTTAAAACAAAAACCAGGAGCACTTGGAAATGATTCAGAATTTCGATCATAATCACTCACACTCACTAAATTTGATTTGTAGAATTAATGACAAGAGCTGCTTTCTACCTTTTGTGTTGTTCCTTTTTCTTGTAAAGCTTCTCAAGAAGTTGTTTTGCTTCACATTGTGGGAAGTTGTCAAGATCATAGTAGTGTGGTGCAATCCCAACCAACCTGAATGAATGAATCAAGTTCAATAAATAATAGTTAAAACAAATTAAAAATAAAGATACATTTTGTGATTTTCCACCGAATAAAAGTGAGGGATTATGAAAAGTGTAACATCTGCTATCTTCTTCTCAATAACCATCTTTGGAGATCTCTAAAATTATCTCGTTAGATTTTTCTACTAATTTGCTAGAAGCCCTTTGTTTCATTCTATCTTTCTGAATTCTATTTTTCTATGCTTCTATGATATGTATACATGTTTTATTGATCACGTAAATGATTTTAATATTTCTCACTCTATCTTTCACTGACTCACTGTTTTTATAACAATGCTACTGTTTATTTGATCAAAAAGAATGTTAGTCATTAAATGAGATGATTCATGAAGGATGGAAACCATGAATTCTAACATCTCCTATATCACATCACAAAGTTAAAACAAAGCTCATTCATGGACATAAAGTGAAAAAAAAAAACTAGAGGAAATATTCTTTAGTAAAGATGACTAACCATTCCCCGCGAACATCAGTAACTGTGCGGATGAACGTCTTCTTCTTGTTTGTTAAGACACACTCGTTGTAAATAACCCACTTTGCCTTGTGGTCTAAACAATTAGATGGATGCAAATTAACTACCTGCAGACATGAGACACCAAACCAAAATACACATCAAATGCAGGTTTAATTTTACCAAAGTATATATAAATACAAAAGAAAACAGGTTAAAAGGAAGATGCAACGAACTAGATTCTCTTTCATAGTCAAGTAATGTCCACTGTTATCCAAATAGGCAACCTGCATAAAGTATCCTGCTAACAAAGCCTTTCTTATGTTGGTATAGTAGTCACGACTGTTGAAATCCTTGCTGCATAACTTGAGGTTGAACCTATTCATTATACGACCTAGTTGTTGCCTAACATTATCTACAGATTTAAGCGCCCTAAAATCAATAAAGTTCTCATAGCACCATGATTGGTCCTCGTCTGAAAGCCACAAATATAAGGTTAGATTGTATCCTTAACAACCTCCTAAGTCCTATCTTTGCTAATAATGTGATAGGCAATACAGTACACAACACACACTCGTGGATTGTAGACTTTTTGCTTTGCAAATCCAGGGTCTATGACATAAACAATCCCATCTGTGGTGAATGAAGTTTCTGCAATGTTTGTTGAAAATACAATCTTTCTTCCAGCAAGACCACCCTTAGTTAATGGAAATGGAGGAGGTTCATATATCTTGTTCAGCATCAATGGAGTGAGTGTAGAATACAGAGGTACAACATTCACTGGCCCTAATTGATCTCCCATTCTGGAAACTTCTTCTGTTATCTTGTGACATGCATCTTCTATCTCTTTATTTCCAGTGAGGAAGACGAGTATGTCACCTTGAGGTTCACACATATGTATTTGCAACATTGTTCGGATTGCTGCTTCAAGGTAGTCCCTTTCAGGCTCCTGGGTGTAAAAAACTTCAACAGGATGAAGTCTACCAGGATGTTTGATCAAAGGTGCACCAAAGAAATAAGCTTGAAACTTTTCAGCCTCATGAGTATCACTGATTACAACCAGCTTAAGATCAGGTCTTTTCTTCAACACTCCCTTTAGAACCCCAAGCAACATATCTGTAGCTAATGATCTTTCATTGGCCTCATCAAGAATTATCACTTTGTACCTCCATATAAGTGGATCATTCATGGCTTCTCTCAAAAGCATACCATCAATCAAATACCTACAAAATAGAGAAGAAGATGAATGCAAGTGTAATCATTAAGAAATGTGATTTGGATTCTAACATGTATAAGCTTACTTCTAAACAGTTTTATCACTGATCCAGTCGTCAAAAGGAACACTGTAACCGACTTCTTCCCCAATGGTTACATCCATCTCTTCTGCAACTCGACGAGAAACAGACATAGTGCATCCAACCATGAATCTCTTGTGATTATAAGGACTTTCTACATCAATGGTTTCCAGAACAAACTGAGGAATCTGCCATTTTCAAAACTTTGCAGTTTAAGATTTCTAGTTCAACAACAAATCTACCTAGCAAAAGAACAGTTTAAAATACGTTTCTGATGGATAACGAAATTAGCAACAAAGAGAGATTGGTATAAATAATAAAGGTTGGGAGTGACCTGTGTGGTTTTACCGCTGCCAGATTCACCGGCTATGATAAGAACTTGATTATCCTTGAATGCTTTCAGAAATTCCCTTTTCTTATGCCAGACTGGTAAAATCGTCCTCTTCTCCAACATGTCGTAATAACGCTGTGAGTATGGGCGTCCATTCCACCGGTTGACCACCGACATGTTGCTAATATAGACGCCGTGAGCGGTGGTTCTGCCGTCGTCTATGTTAAGCTTGGTGGTGAATGTGGCTTCATCCACCACATCGAACAGGCTTACCTTCGACTTCCTCTTCGGATCCATCTAATACTCTCCAAATTGCCCGAAAATGCAAATCACTATCAGTAACTAAGTCCTTCTGCAATCACCACCAAAGTATGTCTATAGACACTTTGAAGGAGAAACCCTAATACCAGTTGGTTCCATGGAGGCGACGTGGAACTTTTTGGGGGTGTACGGAATTGCGTATGGAAATACACTGATGCGTTTTGAAAATGGGATGGCTGATAGACTGCAAATTCTGCAATGATGCTTTCGCGCGTTTAACATTATTATTTATTTATTTATTTTTATTTTTATTTGTGAGTTTTAACCAAAATCTGAATTTTTTTTATTTTTATTTGGCTCTCCACAACCAACACTCCATTAGATTTCGTCCTCGAAATCATTCCTTACCATCGCTTACACGCCCGACAACTTGAACGACATGGTCACAACCACAAGCATACCCCAGCCTTCCCAGGGCAACCAAAACCATCCCCCGCAGGGTTCAAAAACCCAAAGATGAACGAATTTCTTGCAACATGATCGCATTTACTCCATCTAAAACCTGAAGTCTTGAGATGGTCTGTCTCATTGACAAACCGCTCACATCGAATCATTGTCGAGTTCATTGCACTTATCTCCCAACTGGCTATTCAACTTATGATATTATTTAGTCCAACCGTAACCAACTTAGTATATGCCTCGAACGACAAGCAACTCCACACATGGACCCCAAATCACTAAAATCACTCCAACTCATCTTGCTGCCACATAGTTACTTTCCTGAAGAACAATCGGGACCTTCCTAGTCCCAACTTGTCTGTCAACTATCCGGAACACTAGATAACTACTCGATTGTTGAGCCAGAAACACACGCACAACAGTCCCACATGACCTCCTAAGGATACCTCGTCTGACAATAATTGCCCTATCTATACCGCCACTCATGGCTCCTTCAATCCTTTGATCCACCTGATCATGATAGGCTGACAACCTGTCGCCACTGAATCCGACGCAAAAAAGTGAATGCTACCAGAATAACTGCTGCCTTACATCCCACCCGATCTCCTTCAACCTACTGTTTCCTTATTACAATTATGTTGTGACCTACTCACAACCTTGCGAAATGGACCACCTTGTCCTAAGTCATCTGAACGAATCCGTGAATGCCACAGCTACCCTATAGTCTTTCTGCACTTCCCGCACTATCTGACTGCTTGTGAATGATACGGCTCCTCTGCAGTCTTACAACACTTTCCACACTATCTGACTACTAGTGAATGCTAAGACTCCCCCGTAGTCTTACAACACTTCTACCCTACTGGCCATTAGTGAATGTTACGGCTCCCCCGTAGTCTTACAACACTTTCACCCTACTGACCATTAGTGAATGTTACGGCTCCTCCGTAGTCTTACAACACTTTCGCCGCAATTGACCATTAGTGAATGCTACGACTCCCTCGTAGTCTTACAGCACTTTCATCCTAACACAACTGCAGCCCAATGACTTACCCCTGATCTATCAATTCGAAACGCATACCGAGTCGAGCATACACTCGACCGAACACCCGCATTGAACTCAATTCATGACTGGAGCCCCAACCTGCTTCCCAAAATTCTGTTATCCAGCCCCAAGAAGATGCGATTCACACGCTGGGGAGTTTTACCGAACTCTAAACTCACACAACCCTCAAACCAAATGGCCACTTGGGCCGCCATTTTCCTCGATGAGGATGAGAAACTCATCCCGGTCTCATACCTGCCCATGTCCTGAATACATGCGTGATTCTCCCCCACTTAGATTTGACTAAGTCTTCACAATACATAAGATTTGAAGGATTCCCAAACCTTTTTGCTCTTTAATAACCAAACTATTGACAACATGTTGCTTACCCGTGCTAGTGTTCTATTACTGGACTAAACCCCAAAAGACCACACAACTCCTAAATATCAGACAACACTTCCCGAATCCTAGCGAAACTAATAATCTCCGACGCCTTGAAATGATGCCACGCTTATATCTTAAAGTCCAAATAACCGATGCCCAGACTAAAGTCTCCGCAGTAGACCACTTACCCTGGCGCTTCCAAAAGCCAACTCAAGCATAATGGTTGAGTCACCAATCCTGACCGTAGACCTTCCGCATCACATCCCTGAACCGATCTCAACCATAGACCCAAATAACATTGGACGCTCCAAACCATCAAAATGGGAAACGACTCACTAACCACCCTGTAACCCACGGTATGCAAATGACATATGACAATGTTTGAAGGTATAACCCAAACACAAGCAGGGAAACAAACCCAGAGATATGTTTACTAAAACCATTGAAACGAAAAAAAAAAAAAAAACTTCCTCATGCAGTTTCTCACAAGTACTACACTGAATTTGGCCCTACTGGCCACTCAAAAGCTAATATGAACTCTTGGGTCTCTTCCCGAGATACTCCACTAAATTCACATGACCTGAACCTCTCTGCTCGAGGTACTCCAAATAAATCTTCATCCCTCGGGCTCTGGGACTCATATCATTCAGGGTCTCGCACCCTGACCCACTCACCAGCTCAATCGTCAACGACTGAACTGCAATAGCTGGAGCAACCTCTGCTCTAAACCGGACTACTAACTACCCCCAAGACATAGTCTCCAATCCTGAAAGTGCAATAGATCGCACAATCACTCCTTTCCGCCTGATACAAGAGATCTAAGGTGAACTCCAAAAACCCTAGCAGTCCTTCCACTAACTGGCTCACCACCGGAGTCGGGACCAAACCCTGGTCCTCCCTCATGTGTGCTCATCCTCATCTGGCAAAGCAGCTATCCCCACTATCAGAGCATAACCAAGAATTCTCCTTCCCATAAGCTTCTTAGATTCTCCAAGACTCTCACTGATTTGAGTATGGATCATGTGCTTTCAGTGGTATAGGCCCATACTACCTTCCACACCTATCCATACTTTCCTTAACAATCCTCCCGAATCCTGTAAATCACCTACTCCACTGATGCACCAAATATCCGCTAAACAACATCACGATACCCACCAAAGCAACTCCTAGGCTCCCCCTAGGTTCCTAATCTCACTAAACCGCCCCATTAACTCACTGGAGCATATCCTAGGCTTTCCTAGGTTCCCAACCTCTCCCTGTCATCAACTGCTGAAGAACTCCTCATGATGCCAACCATCTACCTCCTGAATATCGTCATATTCACTTAGTGATCGACTCCTATCATTCAAGAGCTCCATAAATCACAAAGCAAGCAGCATTCGTGCAGTAGCACTCCGATCCAAAGAACTATCATAGAACATTCAACCCAAATACCACAACTCATGCTATCTACATCTATCCATCCTCACTATTGGTTGGCTTATGCATGCAAATTATACACAGAACAAGATATAATAGACCGTCGAGTAATAGACTCTACCCTATGACCACAACCAGACAAGGAACAGGAATTAAGGCCAAATAAATTATTATAAGGTTATAAGATCCTAACCGTATACAATTTTAAAAGCATATACTTAACTGTCACTATTACCAATAATCATTCTCATTCTAGCATGGCATCCAATATTCCCAATGCTACAAGCACCACATATCAGGCCAATTTATTGCTGACTACTCAGCACTAGCATGCAAGTCTACCAACTCATACAACATATAAAGGCATTTCCCCTAACCCTAACTAGCAGGCGATTCTCAGATTCATAAATCAAGTCATAACAAATAACATATATGGGTACTATGGGGAAACTTACTTGAGCTCGGCTGATTGCATGCACCACACCCTTTCTTGTCTTAAAAATTCTTTACTTAAAAGCATTTTTCTTTTGAAAACTTTACAGATCCTCAGTTTGAGTTCAGGCTCACCCTAAAGTATGTCTGAATCCCTCAAACCAAGGCGCTGATACCACTTGTAACGACCCAAAAATCAAGGGTAAAAAATTCATTTTTAATATAACCCAAACATAAATATCATTTATTCCAAACATTCCAAAACAATGTTAACTAAAAACATTTATCAGAGTTCATCCCAAAATCATTCACTGCGGAAAACATAGGTGTGTGCGCTGCGATCAAGCTGAGCCATTCCTTTCCAAAACAATGATACATGAAACCATAAACAAAACTGTAAGCGCGAAGCTTAGTGAGTTCCCAAGAGCATACCCCACACAATCCACATAATTACATAATCCATATTAGTTATATCAACTACATATCCACATAATCACATAATCCATATTACCTATATCAACTACATATCCATATAAGCCATATCAATCACATAAGCCATGCATATAATCATATAAGGCAGCCATGGAAACCCTTCAAAGGTCTTACTCCGGGTGCCATAGGAACCCCCTCATGGTCTTAGCCAACTGCCATGGGAACCCCCACATAGTCTTTCGTAACTACCAATCAAATCATACATACAAACATATGAGCTAAACATGAAAACAGATAATGATGCCCTGGAAACCCTCCAAGGTCTTACACCAAGTGCCTCGGGAACCCCCCGAGGTCTTAGCCCAAGGATGCCCTGGAAACCCTCCAAGGTCTTACACCCAAGTGCCATGGGAACCCCCACATGGTCTTAGCCTGGAATGCCATGGGAACCCCCACATGGTCTGATATCTAACTGCCTCGGGATCCCTTCGAGGTCTTCCATGCAAGCAACACAAAGTCATCCAGTACACTGCATATCACAAAAATATCTAACATACCACATATCACATAATAGCTAGCATACCACATAACACATATAACTAATTTCCATTGGAACCCCCACATGGTCTTAGTCTACTGCCTCGGGACCCCCCCCCCCCCCCCGAGGTCTTCCATGCAAATGTCATACTAACATAATGCATAATCAACTAGCATATCAGATATCATGAAATGGGTCAGCCTTGGTGCCTTAGACCCATTAGTATGGTGAGGAGACTCACCTCGCACTGCTGAAGTCTCGCGGATAAAACTCCAGCTGCTGGTTAACAGGTTCCCGAACTATCAACATCAAAACGACATCCAATTAATATTTGGGTTCCAATACATAACCATAAGTCCATGCTTGGGGTGGAAGACTACTTTACCCCTAACTTAGCTTTATTCAAATCCAAGGCCCAATCCAAAGGCCCAAAAGTCAAACTATAGACCAAAGTCCAACACATGGCCTAATTTTCCAAATTAGGCCCAAAACTATAGATGGGATTATCTTAAGGCCCAACCATTTAGTCCAGTCTAA